GCAGTGCGAGGACTGCTACACTGTGAGTGATCAATAACTCATAATCAATAACTCACCTGGGGGTACACGGCAGTGCGAGGACTGCTACACTGTGAGTGATCAATAACTCACCTGGGGGGCAAGCCGCAGTGCGAGGACTGCTACGCTGTGAGTGATCAATAAGCCATAATCGATAACTCATAATCAATAACTCACCTGGGGGGCATGCCGCAGTGCGAGGACTGCTACACTGTGAGTGATCAATAAGCCATAATCAATAACTCATAATCAATAACTCACCTGGGGGGTACGCCGCAGTGCGAGGACTGCTACACCGTGAGTGATCGATAACCCATAATCAATAACTCACCTGGGGGGCACGCCCCAGTTGGAGGACTGCGACACCGTGAGTGGTCGATAACGCATGATAAATAGCACAGGATCTCTCGGCTGGGCCGCAGTTCGAGGACTGCTACACCTTTAGTGATCAGTAACCCATGATCTCTCACCTCTGGGAAAGCTAGAGTCCAAAAGTGGTACTCTGTGAACAAACAACCCCCTCGTAATCAATAACCTGATTGCTAACTCGTCACTGGCAGTTTGCGCTTCACGGGCGTGGGGGGTCATCAGCACTCCCTGTTTCTGGGTCCCTTCCTGATCAGCTGCAGCATGAAGATTGAACCCTTTCACACGCCCGGCTTGGGAACAAGGAAGTGCCTGGGGGCTGCTGGGAAATGTAGTCTTACAGGCCAGCCGGGCTCAGTGGAGTTCATGGGCGGTTTGTCTCTCTCTCTCTCTGTCCCTCTCAGAGCTCGCTGGAGCAGTGCTCCCACTGCAAGGAGAAGATCAGCGACCGCGTCCTGAGGGCGGTGGGCCGCTCCTTCCACGCCCACTGCTTCCGCTGTGTCCAGTGTGGCTGCAGCCTGGAGGGGGCGCCCTTCATCACCGACGACGCCGATCAGCCGTACTGCGTCCCCGACTACCACCGGTCCGTGTAATCCGGCAGAGGAGGCCAGAACCTCCGCTCTGTGCCGCGGGCCTCTCGGTAGCCTGTCTGCCCCGCCGGTCTCGCCAGTCTGGCTCCATTGGCCCGTGAGCGCTGCTGAGCCTTGGGCACGGATCTCGAATCAGCTCCAGCCTGCCGAGCCCCTCGCTGATGTTGTAGTCAAGCACAATCGCCTTGATTTGCCCAAGTGCATTTCATGGGCAGGAAATTGACTTGGGTCTACTTGGTGCTGCGGAAAGTCTATGCACACCAGACTCGTAGACATCACTAGGACAGGGCACATGTAACTCTTCTGGTTCAGTGCAAAGACGGCCCCGGAAAAGAAGCTGTTCAGATGGGCTAGTGCTAGTGTGCCTATTCCCGGCCGATCTGTCTCTGATCTCTGTAGAAAACTACATTTCCCACAGTTCCTCCTCTTCTGAATCGGAGGGGGCGGGGCCTACAGTTCTGAGTGATGATGGGAGATGTAGTGCTGGTGTCCATGTGGGGGCAGCGTGGTTCTGGTTTTTAATGGACCGCTAGCGTCTCCCTGAGGGAGGTTTATGAAACGGGTGACAATCTGTAGTCTTTCCTGCCTGCTGCTTTGCTCTGGAAGTTTGTGCAGTAAGAGGTTTGTGCTCTTGGTCTCTGATGGGTGGTTCAGACTGTATTTACAGAGTGCCACGGATTTGCGATCAGTCGGTCTTAGTGCTGGCAGTAGTCTATAAGGATTCTCAGATGCCTGGACTTGGTAAAGTGAAGGGAGCCAAGATGGCTGCCATCGGGCTCCAGTTTCACTATTTAGTGTTATTGTGGACTCTTGGATGTCTTCCCTCATTGCATCGCTATTGTACTGAAGAGACCATTTGGTGTCTCTCTATTTACATCCCATCTTATTCTGTGTTTTGTAACGTCGGGAAATTACCTTTATTCTATCTGTAGCGTGTATTATCTTCATGTTAAGCAGTCATAGATGGGGCCGTGGGAGCCAAGATGGAGTCCAGTTTCGGGGCCTGTGCGTGGACTGTGTTAATCCTCCCTCTCTCCCTCTCCTCCAGGCGTTTCTCCCCGCAGTGTGTGAGCTGTAAGGAGCCCATCGTGCCCGACCCTGGGAGCGAGGAGACGGTGCGAGTCGTTGCCCTGGACAAGAACTTCCACCTCAAGTGCTATCGCTGTGAGGTGAGGAAACAGTCAGTGCTGTGCTGAAAGGCTGTTTTCCAGCTCATCTCCGTGAACTGACCCCTCCCTCTGTCTGTGATTGGCAGGACTGCGCCCGCCCCCTCTCCATTGAGGCGGACTCGGATGGCTGTTACCCATTGGACGGCCGGATCCTCTGCCTTAAGTGCCACACCCACCGAGCCAAGCAAGCTGCCAACTGATTGGCCGAGGCCCCTGTCCATCAATGGGGGTTGCTCCTGGATACCTTTGCTCCCCAGCTACAGACTCTTGCTTACAGCCAAGTCCTGCAGTGTTACAGTCAGTGGATTCGTAATAGCTGAAGTCATCATAATAATCCTTATTGTAAGCCACACTGTCAGTCGCTCCCTAAACTAATCCCTAGAATTGCCAAGGTGATCGAAAGGTGGCGCGTGTTCAGAAATAGTGCTTCAGTTTCGGCCATCACAGATGCTGGAGAAAGCTTGAGGGCAGCTCACCACATCTCGCACTCTGTAGTTGGTAACAAATATTAACTAGAATACAGAAAGAGCTGGTTCACCCATCACTGGTTAGTTGTGCAGTTATCAAACTAGTCAGCCTGGTAGTCATTGATTGGTCTGTTATCTTGGCTAATAATCGTTAATAATGGTTAGGAATTTAGTTACATAGTCACTCTGCTGGTGCGTTTTCTGTGGGCGCTGAGGCTGGATAATAACTGTTATTCTCATTACACTGATGAGGGAGTCGTGCTGGCTGTTAAACACATTGTGCTCGTTTAATTAGGAAATCGTTCAGCGTTTTGATAACTCCTGCCAGCAAGATTTTACCGCTGCTTGAAACAGTGAAGCAGTCTGTTGCTTTAGACTAATGTTAATTGGCAGGTGAACCACTACTTATTAACCACCCAATTAGTCGCACAATTATCTAGCAGGCTACTACTACAACTTCAGGTTTATAAGTTAGTCGCTCCATCTCTTTAGTGACTAACCAGCTGCAAACGAGTCAGTCTGCAAACTAGTTGGTTAATGTACTCATTTACCTAGGCTAATAAGTCAATAAACTATCGAATAGGTTTAATGTAGTTGGCTAGGCTGTTATCTATAGTAGGATAATGCTAGTTATCGAATAGGTTAATAATGTAATTAGTTAGTGAAAGTTTTAATTATAGGAGTTGTATAATAACTAAACTGTTAAATGTTTGACCTTTTCCACCCATCAGATTCCAGACGTTTCACTCAGTGGCAGTTGTGAGCAGAGGTTTGTTGGACCTTCTGCAAGGAAAGCCTGCTTGTGGGTTTACGGTTTGACCCAGTTTTGGTCTCCGAGACAAGTAGCTGCTCATTGCTTTACTGAAGGTAGTTGGTTAGTTATTCCTCAGATGCTGAACCCACGGCCGCCTGGCCTGCCAAATGAGTCAGGCTTTCGCAAGTAGACCAGGGTGAATGAATCGATCTGGTGACCTCATGACCCGTACCGGAATGGTAGACCAGAGTAGTCGATGAAGAGGACACCGCTGGACAGGAGAGAAAGATGGATGAATGAGAGAAAAGTACAAACGGAAGCAGTGTTTAATGGCTTGGTAATGAGGGTTCGAATTATGACTGACTCATAGGCACGGGAGGGGTTCGATTCGTGTCGTCCAAAGTCGGATTTGAAATGTTTCAAGTCGGGAGGTTGGTTTCAGGCTTTACCAAAAAAATTAGGTACCGGGCCGCTAATCCAATCCCCAGTCTCGATGGAGCCGATTCAGTTCCTGATGCTCGATGGGTGTTTGGGTGTTGTTGACCAGGGGAGGGGCCTGTGATGTGGTGAAAAGCAGCTGGCGCTGTGATCAGGAGGTAGTCGCAGAAGCGGCATGGGCATTGTGGGCCATGTTGCGGACTGAAGTCTCGGCCCGCGTCGGAAATTGGATTTCGGACTACATCTCCCATGATGCCGGTGCCTGGATTCTGCGTCAAACCAGCAGGGGGGGGACAGTGAGTGCCATCTGCCCGAAGAGTATAGTGGAGTGCCGTCCCAGCTGGGGGAGGGGAGACAGCTCGGTGTTATAGATCTTGCCTTGAGTCAGGTAGGCGTCCTTGGCAGAACAAAGGCTATTTCTGTTTGGGTCGGCGAGATCAGCGTCGATACGGGCGACGCTCTGAGCCGGTGCTGGGAGACGGGGGTGAGGGCGTGTTGGGGAGAAGCTGTGAAATCCGGGTTGCCTAGTCCCCTGGCTCTGTGCAGAAGTGGTGTGTGTATATCCTGGCTCCCCCTTAGGGGTGGGAGGAGGGGAGCACCCCTTCAAACAGGACTGAGTTGCGCTGAGCTCTGTACCATGGAGAGCGATCGCTGCACGCGTTCTCGCCAGTAACTGCTCCTAGGAACCTCCATCCCCTCGCGTAATCCGAGTGGAAGAATGCATTTGTGTCGATCCAACTGTGATAATCCAGCAGCTGCTTCCCGGCAGCTGAAATGAGCACTAACGTTTCCTAACGAACAAAGCAGCTTTTTGTTTTTTTGTATGTTTTCTTGAAGTACTGAATGTTTTAAAAAATATTATGCAACCGATGGGGGGTGGGGAAATGCAGAGGCGGATGTAGACTCGGACTGTTCGGTCTGTGTCAAGGGGAGACTGCGATGTCAGTCATTTATCCAGTTTACAGTAAAGTCAGTGTGGTCCAGCCTGGAGAGGCTCCGACTGCTCTGTCAGTGTCAATGGGAGATTTATAATCTCGGTGATGAACTAATCTGGCTCACAGTCCAGTCCAGCCTGGAGTGTCTGACTACTCTGGGTGTCAGTGGGAGGCTGCAAGCTCATTAACTAATAAAGGTCACAGTAAAGTCTGAGAATATGAATATGTGTTACTGTAGCAGGGGCATGCCAGCATGTTCTATGAATAATGTGTAGGAAATACTCCAGCTGCAGTATTGCCGTTTTTAGTGAGATCAGTGTTTTTAGGGGCGATGGCTTCATTCATTTTCTGGCTAAAAAGAGCAGCAGGCAATTGTAGCTTTTATTTCAAAAGCCACCCAGAGCGACGCTTTCAAACGAGACGCGTTTAAAAAGCGATCTATGAGTTTGCGGCCAAGCCTTTTCATTTTTCTGCAAACGCGTTTGCATTATTTCACTTTAAGTATTATATGCATTTTCATTTTTTGTGTTTTTTGTTTTTCGCATTTATGATTTCTTTGTAACAGTGTAGTATTTTAAGAGTGATAAGCCATCTGGAACAAAACATTCCTTCCCTTTCTGTCCTCCTTTCTCTTCATTCCAGAAGAATTGCGATCAGTGTTAACGAAGAGCAAGACCTGGCCTTTCCTTCTCAGTACTGCGATCGCGATGCTCGAGATATTAACCCTGCCACAGCTCTTTTTTTTTTTTTCCCCGCTCTCCTTCCCTCTTTAACGCTGAGAGTTAAGGGTTTTCTGCCTTCTTTACAGTATTACATCCCTGCAGATGCTCTTCTGACTGGAGGTTTGTGGGTTCAAATCCCAGCTGGGGCACAGCAGCTGGATCCTTGCTCGAGGTGGCTTCCTCGGACAGATCCAGTAAGATGCCCAGCCGCATCGATGGGGTCAAATGGCCATCAGCCAGTCAAACTTCGGCACCTCTCCCTCTCCCCCTCCTACGATCCGACTTGGGGATGTTTCACAGATGCACACTCTGAGCGACTTTTATACTGATTTTGCGCGTGTCTTCGGGGGAGGGGGGTGGGGGTTACTTTCTTTTTGGTTTGGCTTCCGATACTTTGTTACAGTTGAACAGGGCCTGTTCTGTATTCCCTTGTGGCTCTGGCCTCCCGAATGTCGGCTGTAGCGACTCGAAAACGTTCTCGCTGTCACTTGCAAATGATGAACAATAAAGTTTGATTTGTACGGCGGCTCGGATCTTTCACTGGGATGTGCTGTCGACCTCTTTTGAAATAATCTAAAGAGTGTGGAAGTTTTGCATTTCGATGGTTCTTCTTCCTTCTCAAGTCTCAAGGTGAGGTGAATAAATCTCTCTTAATCCAAGAGAAATATCGCTCTGGCCTTCGAGATGGTTTTGCCAAAAGTAGTACTCGTTCGCTCTGCACGCAGATCACGGGCAGAACATGTCTGCTGTGAAATAGCTGCAGTGCCACCTGTGCTTATTCACTCGTACGTCACGGCACCTTGGTTATTACAGGGACTAGTGAGCAGGAAGGGCCGCATCACGGCGCGATTCTCTCGAACCCTCGCTCTTGCAAGCGGGGCTTGGTGACAACGTGGCAACTTGCATCGCTTTCTCCCCGTTCAACGTTTTGTGTTTATTTGGAAAACGTCAATGTTTTCTAGAACATCAATGCCTTACTGAAATGTAATAAGTGGCCTGAGGAATTGGGACTGCGGTTCCTGTTCTAAAGCAGCATTTAGAAGTCTGAATAAATGTGATGCACATATGTTCTGGAATTCCATGATGTCTAACTTTGCTCCGACTGATGCTATTATGGTTGTGGGCTAAGATTTCTGAAACCTTAACCAGTTCATAACGTATTCTATTTTTTGTTCCCATTTCAATGGAGGTATGATTAAATATGTCGTCTATTCCTGCTTATTCCTCGTCGGACCGTTCCGAGAGCTGTGGTATGTTGATGAACAGCTGATTATTGTAGAATCCAGTGTCCAGTTGGCCCATGATCCTCCATATTCAGGATAGGAAGAGTTATAGGTATGCTAATAACCCCCTTCTGTCACACCCTATGCACAATCCCTGAACCTGGATATTACTTTAATTTAGTCCAGAGAAGCTGAGCCCTGAACTGGGATGTATTTGATAAATGGGACAGGAACGAAGAATTGATCATGGTGCACAGGGTACGGGACCCCTCTGATTAAGTATTATTACCAATCCTCTGCAGACAAATTCTCTCAGGAAGAAGTGGGGAAAATGGTAGAAACACCCCCACTTTGTGGACAAAATGTGCATTGCAGATCCTTTTCTCCTCTTCTTGCCTTCTGGTTGAAGGAGACCTGCAGGGCCAGTTCCTCAGAGCGGTGATTAAGTGTCGACAACAAACTAAGTTCATTGACGGCAAAGAAAAAAATGGACAAGTTTCAAATTAAGCACAAAATCGCCAACTTTGTGCAAGTGCTGTTAGTCGCCGTGTTGTCACAGGCCGTGGGAGAGAGCGAGAGTTTGAGCAAATTGTGCCGTGAAGCGGCCCTTCCTGCTCACTAGTCCCTGTACTGGCTCACGTGCTGTGATGTATGAGCGGAGAAGTACAGGTTCTACAGCAGAAATGTTTTGGCATGATCTGCATGTTACCAAGAAGTATTTACCTGCAACAAATAAAGAGGAGGGGTGTTACCCCAGT